GGTTTCCAGTATTTGTTGAATCTTTCGACACAAACAGAGGTCTGGTTCTCGTCCTCCAGAGACCACATGTCTTGAGTGGTCAGTGGTTTGCGATAGCCTTTCATAACCATTGGTGTAAACCATGAAAACGTCAGTTTCGAGAGAAAAGAGGCGCTTGTTTTGGGACAACATTTCTGGAAAATATTTTTAAAAACTATTTTGATATCACAAGAGATATTAAAACGTATCACAAAAAAATACTTCAGAGATCTGAGGAGTGATGTCTTGAGTGGAATCCGCAAAACACGAGAGGAATAACTGAACGATAATTAGTGGAAACGAAAATGATTTCGTTGAATACGTGAAGATATGAACACTCGAGTCAATGGATAACTAAAACAGTTATATTTTAGTAATTGAAAAAATATCTGAAATGCTATTTAATACATCATTGAAACTAATCCAGAATTTTGTTAAATAATCAAAAGCGGTTCCGATCGACAAGAATAACCAAAATATGAATAATAAAACTCCGGAAGAATTGATTCCATGTTTTGTGGGTTTGTTTTGTAATGTAATTGTATAAAACTTTATATCAAAATACAGTATATTTAAAGTTAAAATTATTGACACTAAAAGTAATAGTCTTATTAATACTCACGAAACTTAATGTCTTAATAAATTGTGTGGCAATTTGTAAATAATTTTGAGTACAATAAGAATCATTAAATGTTTTGCAAATTATGTTTAAAAGTTGTATAATACTTAATACTAATAATACTGCTGTTAAACTCTGAAATATCAATGTTTAAATTAGTTTACCAGTAATAAGTTGTCCAAATAAATAGTTTAAATAAATATATAGCTTAGTTTACAATTTTGGCCAATAAGAGCGCAGTTCGGGGAATGGGATGTCGTATAGTTGTTGTAGTTTTACTTGACTTACTGAGCAATTCGTTGAATACTGGCGCACATAGTGTGAGGAACGGTATGAAAATGAGTGTGAATTCTGTGTATTCTGTAATCTCTATATTCAGATATTCACTAAAATCCTAATATTACAAACTTTAAAATTTAGTATATTTAAAATAAATGGATGTATAACTCACCCAAAAATATTCACTTGAATTCATGATAAAGAGTATTAATTATATAATTTCTAAATTATTTCTTTTCTAATTAAACAATTTAGTTAAAGTTGAACCAAAACTTTCAACTAAACATAAAACATATTCTTATGATATATAGATCTATATTTATATTGATTTTAATAAATTCATATAATTTACACACAATTATTTTTATATTTCATCATTAATTATGAATCATAAATTAATTGTATTGATAATATTCCATGTAGCATTCAATACATTACCGCTACTTTTATCAAAATCATATTATATTTACTGTAAGAAATTCAATGATGAAATAAATGCAGAATTTAATGAAATATTTCTAAATACAGTATTAATTTCAGTAATATATTAAATATTAAATTTAATATTGCTATTAATATAGTGTAATCATAAGATATACACGTTGTCGAATTAGTAAACAGGTGTTTTATACACAATACACTTTACTATATACTGTAGTACGGTACACATTATTAAATAGGTACTATTAAATAGGTACGATACAGTAAATTATAATATTGTATTGATATACTGGCACTTTAATCAATAGCTGTCAAACACTGAAAGCAATGAGAATATATTTATTTAGATATAGAATTACAGTGAACATTAATTACCAATAAATACCAATTAAGTACATTAGTTATATTTTATGCTCGCTAATGTTCGTAATTATCATTACTGATCAGTGATTACAGTGTAGGTGACAAATTGATAATCTACACAGTATATAATATAGAATTTATTTAAAAAGGTACAATGAAAATTCATTGAGTGCTTAGTAATTATAAGCAAAAGTTTTCAATCGCAGTTTAATCATTCAAAGTAATACAGTATATCTATATTTATAATGTGTGAGAAAGATCACATTTTAAACTCTATATACTTTACATGTGATTTTAAAGTTTTAAATTGTTTTTCATTGTACCCTTTTTAATAAATCGTATGTCATATAATATTTGTTATATAAGTACAATAGGCACAACAAACCAAGGACAATTTTACAATAAATAATAAGACCATTACAAATATTCTGATTTCATTGCTATCACTGATTTGATAACCATCAGTGATACTGTACAGTGATGCTTGTCCTTGGTTAGTTGTGCCTATTGTACTTATATAATATATTATATACTGTGTAGATTATCAATTTGTCACCTACACTGTAACCACTGATCAGTAATGATAATTACGAACATTAGCGAGCATAAAATATAACTAATGTACTTAATTGGTATTTATTGGTAATTAATGTTCACTATAATTCTATATCTAAATAAATATATTCTGAATGCTTTCAGTGTTTGACAGCTATTGATTAAAGTGCCAGTATATCAATACAATATTATAATTTACTCTGGAATAGAGCTAATACTAAAAATACTAAAAATTATTTGCTTGCACCGATACTGTATCGGGTACACAGAATATTCTAGCCTAGAAATAAATTTCTCTATGTATTTATTTTATACCTGTTTTATTGTTTTACACCTTTACCTGTGTTTTCAGAATACATAAAGAAAATTTATTTCTAGACTAGAATATTCTGTGTACCCGATATTGATGCAAGCAAATAATTTTCAGTATTCGAAATACAATTCGAACAAAGTTGAGATCACCCCGATACATTGAGTCGTTGCTGAGATGAATGAATTTCAAATTATCACAATTTCACAAATAAAGAATTTTTAAAAATGAATGAGGACAAATTTCGCGAAATTAGTTTTTTCATATGAACCCTGCGCACAATTTCCAAAAATCAGAACCTACCTACATCTTATAGTTTTTAAGTTATTAAAGGACAGGCATATCTATCGTTCCCCTTATGCCCCAATAAAATAGGGCATACCGATGGATCGGGGCCAAAAAACAAAAGTTGCAAAAGTTTTTATTTTGTTCTAGCTCTATTCTATGATTTTAATGCTAAATAAACCACCCTTTTGTCAAAAGCTTTATAAAAAAGTGAATCACAAAAACATAACCGCATTATTGATATTGAATTGAGCGCTAAACTGGTGATCCGAATGTCACGTGAATTCAATGCCTTATGAAATGATTAGACATTTCATTGAATGCTTTGATTCGCAAATGAATTGTTGTTTTCATTGCTATTAAAGTGTGTTTTGGTTTCACTTTTCATTGCATTTAAGGTTTCATTCAGTGATTCAAAGAAGTGATGGCCGAAGAAGACCACAATTATTACCAACAAATGGCTAAAAAGGTTTCAAATGACATATTATTTGCCATAAAATACTAATCATTTGTATTGATAGCCAAAGATGTCATCAATTGATGTGAAGTCGACTGCAGAGGAATGCTATCCGAGAGACTCATTAGACAGATATGGAGACGACTTATGCGAAGAGATATTGTCTTATCTGTCACTCGAAGACTGTTTCCGAGTTGAATGTCTGTCCAAACAGTGGCAGCGATTGGTGTTTAAGAGACAACACGTCTTCGATGTGGACATAGTATTGATGGAGAAGAAGGTTCACCACAGAGGCAGACATGTCGGCCAAACCATCGCCAAAGACGTGAATTGGAGGGCATTGGAGACAGTGGTGAAGAAGTGCCCAAACATTACATCCATTGATATGATAGTGAACTCGAAAGACACCGAAAGACTGTTTGAGAGACTCATGAATGCATACAACGACTCATTGACTGCAATACACATCCGATTCATGAATTGTGATAATTATATGGCGAAGACTATTGTCGACAAATATGGCCACCGATTGACTGCCATA